AAAATGTAAAAAAAAAAGAAAATGAAGAGCCATACAATACTCTTGTGTGTTTAATTATTTGTTCAACCTTTATGACAAAGTAGATTTTACAATGAATGAAACTTTTTTTTGGTCAAACTCAAAATTAATCCAGTGTGGCTTAATAGACGTATACAGAATCTCCTGTCATATTTACCTTGACCTATTTAATCGTAATATATGTGCTAAGTATATTGGTTGTAATCTGAGCACGATTTCTCATTACAAATTGGAACATTTCATTATAGGTTAGATAAGCTGCCGTCCCACGAGACATATTGACGTGTGTAACCAAATTATGTTTAAACGAGTGTTTACAAGGTTAGTTAGATCGGGGCACGATATCTAGGTGTTGTCTGGGATGAAATATGATTTGATAGAAATGTTGGCACGTGTATGGGACAGACCATGTGAGTGTGTAATATGAAGGTTACTCTTAAGACATCCAATGCAATTTTAGGGCAGTAAAACTAGAAATATTCCGAATAAGGCAATCTGTATGATATTGACACATGTCAATGTTCCACATTAGCTCATTTAAATGGGTATTTCATACTTTGGGCTTTTAAAACTGCAGAAACAAGCCGGAAAATCAGTCTTTATTTTCTGGGTGGTACCCTAAAAATCAATTCATGTCCTTCCATTAACCGTTTCTCGTCAGAATTTTTGGCATTACTTCCTCCATTTAATGTCAATATACATTGAGAAGTGTTGTTTCAACCCAGTACGTACATAAGTGACTAGAATATTGACTTGGAAAAATCCGGTTTCCAAGCCCTAAACTGCACTGTCTGCCTTTAAGCCCCTGTCACACATTCATTCCCACGAACACCAATGGACAAAGATTGGCTGACCTTCCCTAGCAGTCTGTCCAGATTTAGGCCACGCCCCCTTTCTATAATTGAATCTGAGTTTAATTCGAGTAAAATTTGACTGCCAACCACGTCCCGAACTACTCCCAAACACTAGCCACCCTGGCCAAACTTGCTCCCGACCTACTCCTAACAATAGTCGAGAGGAGTTCAGCAGTCTTCGGAAGGCCACGTTCGGCTATGTGTGACAATGGCGCTCATGGCGCTCTCATCGCGCTCTCATGGTGCTCTCATGGCGCTCTCATGGCGCTCTTATCGCGCTCCCATCGCGACCTTTGCGCTCTCTCCGCGCTCTGGCCAATTTCAGGTCGCAGAGAGAGCGCCGTGAGAGCGCCGTCTACGTGGAATGGCGGTATTACGGACACAATGATAAAATGTAAATATGGAAATGTAAACTTTAAATTTAATGTTTGTCACGTTTTTATCGCACTGAAATGATAATTCCTTTACTTAAGCATACATTGATCTTGATTTTGAGAGTATATATTTCTCCAACTTTGCGCTTTAATAGAACGTTGCGCGTGAAGCAGATTTTGGATTAATAGCATCAGTACAGTTGTGTTCGTCCTGTGATACGCACGTGCTCTGTAAACACAACTGCCGTCTCCACAACCGTGTTTCCCACACATCTCAACAATCCCACCCACACAAGAAGAAAGGCGGGACCCTTAAAGGTTAAATATGGCGTTAACGTGACAACTCAAGCGGACTGCGTGGATATGTACCGCGAGAAAGCCCTCTTTGTTTACCGTCCAATGCATTTGTTCCTTCTCCCTCGCCCACTGTGTAAGCCCTGCGTGTGGTAGCTTCACGGTAAAGCATCAATTATGGCGTAAGACTCGGACCAAAGGCAGCCACACAAGGACAAGGTCGAAGTCTAGAGGACCCCATCCTTTACAATTTCTCTAAGGGGGAGGGGGGCTCTTAGAAGCCTTGTTCTTTGCAGGTACTTAGAAGTCTATCCAGCAGGCCAGTGGAAAAAAAAGCATCAATTATAGTGTAGGAGTCGGACCAAGAAAACCACACAAGGACAAGGTCGAAGTCTACTGGACCCGATCCCTTCCAATTTCTCTAAGGGGGAGGGGGGCTCATAGAAGCCTTGTTCTTTGCAGGTACTTAGAAGTCTATCCAGCGGGCCCGTGGAAAAAAAAGCATCAATTATAGTGTAGGAGTCGGACCAAGAAAACCACACAAGGACAAGGTCGAATTCTACAGGACCCGATCCTTTCCAATTTCTCTACGGGGGAGGGGGGCTTTAAAGAAGCATCGTTTCTCACAGGTAATTAGAAGTCTATCCAGCGGGCCCGCGGAATTGAAATTCATTTTAAAGAAATGCAGAGTAAGATACATAGCTGACTTGGCAATGACCAAGGCCGGCTTTCTACTAATCATCTCCATGGATGTAATTTAGAGTCAATATGATTGATCGGGCCTTTTCGTGAGCTGTAAGGATTAAGCACAAGCACAGAAGCTAGGGTCGTAAGGCCACAGCAGGTACATTTTATGGATGACATCCTCTGCAGCTTCCGAGTCTGATGCGAAAGGGCAAAATAAAACGAGGCGGGAAAAAATCCCCAAAATTTTCAAATTTTGACATCATAAACCTTGATAATAAATTCTACCGATATTGTGCTAGATTTACAACCTTGTTGTTGGCAACCGTCTGTCTCGAGAGACAATTATCAACCACAAATTCATGCTTATTACAGTTGTATAGGGAAAAGTATAGTCCACGGTTATCTGTTAGTTTTCGGTCTTTGAAATCAAAACAAGCTACAAGCTTAACACACAGATCACATACTATACAGGCCTTCATAAACACTTTTACGGACCTTGTTCAAATATGCAGCCTGAGATTTGAGGTTAGTTGAACTCTAATATTCTAAAGGGCTAGAGGAAACAGATAGTACGTCTCTAATTTAAGAAAAGCGATAGCAGAATTTGTTTTGTTTCATTGGAATTTGACACCAACGTTGTTTTGGGTTCAGGTCTATGCGGGAGACAATTTAACGGATATTTGGCACAGTGGTGGTATCTTCTAAATGCTCACTTGTTCCTCTTGCATGGCCAAACTTGGGAGATAATAACAAACTGTTGAAAATGAGATCTGATTATAAAAGATGAGAGTCACAAGAAAACCACGCGGTTCACAAGGCCGTCGGTCTTTGTTATCGTTAAGCCACAGCAAGTAAAGTTTATGGATAACATCCTCCGCAGACTCCACGTTTAATGCGATACAGCGAAAAAACCTAGGCGGGCCGAAGAAAAAAACAAGGTTCTATTTTAAAATTTTGACATCATAAACCCTAAAGAGTGATACCTATATTGTACGTGTATTATAAAATATACTTAGTTTACTACCAACTATTATAACATCTATTTGTCACTAAAACAACTTTGAAAAATAAAATGTTTCAATCATTTGTTTTGTTTTCGCCTTAATTATCGCATTCGATTTTGCTTCAGAAGAGGATGCCATCTTTTAAATTAACTTGCTGTGGCTTTACTTTGACCCACCTCCCCTCCCAAAAAAAGAGTAAAAAGCTTACTTGATTACGTGCGTTGCTGTAGTAATGTTCAGACTTGAGCAGTGTATATTCTTAACACGCACAACCTTGGACTTCACGTTGATCAATCTGCAAGTGTAACAACTAACCACGTTTCTTTTGTACAAAGGCACGTTCTGAGACTTGGCGATGGTCCACTGTGCTCTGTGTGAAGATGGAAACCCCGTACAGCTGCGATCAGTCTTTCAGCTTTAGGACTCAGGCCTGACCAAATTCATCTCATGTATGCTCTTGATGTCTAATGCTAGAGTTTTCACAACTGTAAGGTGTCTTACACAAAAAGAGATCACCAATTCATGTGTGTGTGTAGTTAAACTTTGAAACGCGTGAACGAATGTAAAGATTTCATAAATATGAAACTGGACAGTCTGTCCAAAACTTGACACAGTCTGTTTTATTGTAGTTTATGTGACTTAACTAAGCGAAAATTATCCACCTTTTATCTCTTTTTTTCTGGCTGAATAGACTATGATACATTGATTTTCTTGAACCTGAAGAATTTTTAATCAAAAATAAATCATACACTAGAGTGAACTCACTCTGATTGCTCGCTTTTCTTGTACTTTCCGATAAACCCTAAGAATGTCCAAAAGTGCCTAAACTGCAAATCACGTTAGATATGCTCGGCGGGATGCCCCTTTATGGGCTGGTAAATCTAAAGGAAAGACGCTGACTGTGCGGTTACTATGGAATTCAAGGTCAAATACGTGTAGGAAGACACGTAGGCCACCTATTTGAAAGGACAAGGATTTCACATCGCTTTTAATGACAGACACGTTTCTTTACATATCTATTATGACTTGATATACAGCAAAACAAGACCTAATTATACTAGTAATCTAGAAGTCTAGCAGTACTCATGTTATACTCGATTTTATCTCGGGAGCAAGCGCTTAAGATTTCTTGATCTTGGTTCAGGGATTACGTACTAAGAAACCTTAATTAAGGCCGAAGTGTTTACGTGCCAAGTTAAGCGTGACATTGTGTATAAAAGACGTCGCGTTGCCGGTTTGGGTCTGCAGTTCCCAACAAGGGCTAAGGAAGGAAGGAAGGCATTTTGCTACCGTCTTCTTGAGGTTTACTCTCTAAGGTAAGATTCCGTCTGGGATTCTTGGTTTCGAACCTACGATTCAATTTGTAAGAACCCAATTTCATATATACGTTTGGCTGTTCATTTTAGTTTGATTTCAGCACAATAATTCTTTCAAAACTTTCTGAGACTTTCTTGCCACTGACTTGAACTAGTTTCACGACTTTGTACTGATGTCCTGTTTGTAAAGTAAGAGATCTTCATGAATTTTCGTTAAAACGTTGTTCACTATTTGAGTTAATTTTAGTTTTAGGTGAAAGTCAATGTTTCTGTTTTGAAATTTCTACTCCTACGAACGAACGAACGACAGACTGTGTACGTTTTGTAACCGGGTAGAAGATGAAATTCATTTTGTATCTGACTGTAGGTTTATACAGGGACTGTATGAATACATGTGTTGCGCTCATATTGGCATGAATGTGAAAATTAACATCATTATCTTTTTACAGAAAAAAAAGAGCAAAATGAGTCTGTCGGCATCTGATAAGAAGGCCATCGTGGACTCCTGGGCTAAAGTGTCCCAACCGTCCTTCCCGGAGGCGGGAGAGAAAATCTTCCTCAAGTGAGTGAGCCTTCATGTCTAGCTCTATAGCTCGATCTTATAATGGGCGGTATATGGATTTTTTTAGCAAATGTATGTTCTCTTCTGTCAAAGATGAATCCTCCTTTTTATGTTCTATCTTTTTAGGTTGCTTTTCTAATGTATTTTGTGCTGCGGAGCCCATATGTCTATGGTTGCACATACATTACCTTCTATATACTAGTAGGACCGGCCCTGTATATGATTCGGGGGCATTTCTTGTGGAGCGCATCACAACGCAGCAAAACGCAAGGAATGCAAAAATAACTACACCACCGCAGGGCAAAAATGTCAGGGATCTAGGACCTGATTAAGACTTCAAATTATTAAGAAATATTGTGTTAAAAATGCCAGGAGGACAGGGGCTAACATTATGTTGCTATTCTATATTTTGATCTGCCGTATACGTAGTTATTGGAAAGATTTGAGTAGCCTAGCTTCTCTTGTTAAACATATTTACCGACTTGGGTCGCTAACATCAAAATCTTACTTCCCACTGAAAAAAAAAACGTTCGTATAATAACCTTCTGCAAATCCTGCAGGTTGACATATTTCCCATATTCCTCTGCAAAGACCTGAGTGTGCAAAATCTACAGAAATACAGACCGGTTAAATACGTTCAGTGAACACTACCTGCTGCTAAGCAAAGTAAATCCATAAACTGAAAGATGTATAGACCACCCTTGTAGTTCTATCAGTGATGGATTTAAGCACTTCTCGTGGCACTTATTTTCCTTACAACTTCCCGGACGTGGTTCTGAAGTAATGATGAGAAAAAGAGAGCCTGTCCCAGATGATGAATGGGTGGGCGTGATTGGTGTCCGGGCTAAGAAGGTCGTACAGAATAGAGTGTTAGGAAAGATTGGAACCCGTCCAAGGATTTAGTTGGGTCCCTTTGGTGATTTCTCCCTACACCACAAGAGACCTCACAGACGTTACGGTACAAAGTGGCAGACGTACTTTCCGTAAAATTGATATTCCACACGAGGTTTTAAGTAGACTATTGAACGCACGTACACTCTACTAAGTGGCTACTTCCATCCCCAAAGTTAGCTTCTGTGTTTTTTATTGCTGTACTGTGTACCCAGGGTCATAAATATTGTACAGCAGTTCGTCAGACAGGCATCTCTGTTGGTAACAGTTGTCTGAACTGGGTATTTACAACATTGAGTTTTGCCCGTTACATGTAGGGGAGCTTCTTTTGAAATCCCTTCTAATGATTCCTGCAGGTACTCTCAGATCAATAACGCATTTAAAAAAGTCCAGCTCCAACTATCACATTGTCCGGAGAACGTATAAATAGTAGCCTCATGTGTGGAAATGCGTGGATGGTTAGGTTACCTACAAACCATACGACCGACCGACCGACCGACCGACCGACCGACCCAACAACCATAAAAAAGAAACCTCTGCAAAGTTCCAAAATGCCCAGTTTAAGTTTATGGAACCCCCGCAGATCCAGTGCGCTTAAGAGCCGCACCAAGCTGACATTTAGACTGAATGTACTGTACTGAAAGATAGACACTTGCTTTAAGTAGTACTACTATACTTGAATGTCCCACCAAGCTGTTTTTTCCAAATGTCTTACCCTGGCGTATTTTTATATTTAGGCTTTTGAGGAACGAATCGACCAAGGCGCACTTCAAGAAGTTTAAAGACATTCCGTACGACCAACTCGCCGGCCAGGGGGTCATCCGCGACCACGGAGAGAAGGTAGGCAGGCATATGCATAGGGGTACAGCAAGTCATTTTTATGGTCGCATCAGCGCGCATATTAATGTTTGCATGATTTTGGAAAAAAAATTGCCCTTTCACAGTGGTGAACATGCCTACTTCTACTACTAAGGCCCCCATTCCACTTAGTGGCGCTCTCACGGCGCTCTCTCTGCGACCTGAAATTGGCCGGAGCGCAGAGAGCAAAAAACGTGGAATCGTGGAATCTCTACGGCGACCTCTCTGCACTCTCTATGCGACCAAAACTCAAATATCAGCAACATTTTCATAGCTCACTTAACGAATTACGGGAATAGAGAACGGGGTTTTTTTACGTTTTCTCTCTTTCAAACTCATTCTTGTACATCCTGCATCATATTCAAATAATGACATAAATGAGTAAGGCCCCCATTTCCCTAGGAAGCTCTCACTGCGCTCTCTTTGTGCTCTCTCTTCGACCTGAAATTTGTCGGAGCGCAGAGAGAGCGCCGTGAGAGCGCCGAGGTCGCCATATTTTGTATCTAAATTAATGTTGGGCCATTGCGCGCTCTCATTACGCTAGCTTCGCGGTATGACCCGGTTCCATACCATCGCCGAGGTGACGGCGCTCATGGCACTCTCATCGTGCTCTCATCGCGCTCTCTCCGCGCTCTCTTCACGCTCCGGCCAAACTCAGGTCGCCCTGAGAGCGCCGTCTATGTGGACTGGGGTATATTGAGATTTGATCTATCTTAACTATCGCTTAATGGTTTCCGCTTCAGTGGAAATTGGGTATTAACGGTATACTTTACAACATGCAATTATTGACAAGTACTCCCAACTAAATCCGGTGCAAATTAAGAATGACGTTGTTTGAAACAGGAAACAACTGTGTCTTAAGTAAAGGGTATCAAATTATGGATTTACACTAAGCCATAATAATTCCATATCGATCTTGCTTGTGAAAGATATGTATCGACTTTGCAGTACGAAGTACACCTCGCCTCAGCCGTGACCGTTTAGGCCACAGCAAGTAATTTTATGGAAGACATCAGAGCGCGCATCAATTTGCGTTTGATTTTGGAAAAACAAATTCACGACTAACCGACGAAAAGGATCGAATAAGGCAGTCCTTTCAACAACAACGAAGCAGTGTATATATACGTAGGTAGGTAAGACAACATTATACGAGTAGCAAGGCAAATGCACTATTCAAACAATGTCCTCAGTACTTGCAATCGTACGACGGTCGTATGACACTTGTGACCGGGTTCTTACTGTTGTATTTTGTTCGTGGGCAGGTGTGCCAGGTGCTGGATGAGTTTATCAAGGGTCTGGACGGAAGCGGAGACGAGGCTGTGAAGAAAGTCGGGCGCATGCACAAGGGTCTGGGGATGTCCAACGAGCAGATTGACGTAAGTTTAATTTTTTGTTTGTTTAGGATCTCCATTAGAATAAATTTTACACTACTCTCCCTAGAGTCCGTAGTGAATAATCAGATAAGTACGAGTATATGGACCATCACACACCGGGGCATGCCCCTGTTCTTTTTGAAAGGTGTGGTGGGTTCTTTAACGTGTGTAGGGCGTGGCTCTCCCAAACACGAAACATCGATTTAACGTCCTATCCGAGGGACGTCCCTCACCAAAGCTTAAGGTACTCATTTACACCGGCGTGAAGTGAAGAAAGTCGTGTAACGTGCCTTTCCCAAGGGCACGGGATCGGTAACAAGGTAGGATTCAAACCCGGAACCTCTTGGTTCAAGGCCGAACACGCTACCGCTACGCCACACGAATCCAAGTCGTGACGTAAGTCCAGACGTCTAGACTGTGACGGGATTAACAATAATCCCTTGTTAATCCACACATTGTTCATGTGTCTGACAGCTGTGGGGGTGTGTGATCCATCCATACATGCTGTTAATCCACAAATAGATTCTAGGGTGGTAAAATACAGTATCAAATTGCAGGAAGTACCCGTTAGCCAGAGAGGGTCAAATACGCCACCCAAGAAAATGAATACTGCCTGGCTAATTTGATACAGTTTTGCTACCCTAGGATCTGCTTTAAGATACTGTTGCAATAGCCTAGTTGGTTCGTGGAGTGCCTGCTTTGCATTCAGGAGGGCACGACTTCAAAACTGTTGGGGCATACCGAAGGCTTTAGAAATATCACGAATTTTACCCTGGGCGGGATGCCTTACCCTGGGCGGGATGCCCTAGACAGGGTTTTGCCCAGTATTGTATAGAATATAGAACAGAATTTCTTAGCGTTCATGATATGAGAAATAGAATGAGATCCAAACATGCAACATTTTCTTTGCACACGTTGTTGTGCTTGCACAATTGTGAAGCACTGGAGCTATCAGACAGATTTGAACACATCCAGATATACCGAAATGTTTCCGAATGATTTCAACCGTTGTTGTGGACTTGCCCCACCCCATGACAAATATTAGTTTCTGACATGACATTCCAAACCTTGCTGCCTGATAAAAACATGAAATACTGTACACGACTTTTCATACGATCTACAAAATAATATGGTTTTGAACATGCGTACATTATTTCTACGCATATTACGCACAAACCCACTTTACAGGAACCGATTTATTTGTACAGGAAGATAAGTAAGTACTGCTGTTTTCTGGTTTTCTAGAAAACATCTCGCTCAAAATCTTGGGCGAGCGCTTATCCTTTGAAGTTTTCCATTTTCAGTAATAACACGGACATGACAAGATCTTCAACTCAGCAGTTATTGTGTCTGCGTTATTTCGTGCCTAGAATACCAAGAAAGGAGTCAGAACTTCCAGATTCTGTATGTATTTGAGTTATAATAATGCATAGATTTGATGTGGTATTCGGTTTTCTAGGTTTACATGTATGTATTTAGGACAATGTTGCTGCGTTTTGTTATTTCAAACTATTAGGCCGCAGCAAGTAAATTTTATGGGTGGCATCCTCTGCCTCTGTCTGATTACAAATTGGTAAAGTGCAAAAAATACTGTAAAAATACTCTAAAATGGATTGTGTTTAACCTACTCCAAACAGTTGCTTACATCCAAAAAAGATACTGCCTGGCCAATTTGATACTGTCTACGACCATCCTATGATCTACTTGGCGATTAGGCCATAGCAAGTAATTTATGGATGACATTTTATGGATGACATCTGTGCGCGCATTAATTTTTGCCTGATTTTTTGGGGAAAAAAGAAGTTTTGTTGCCTTCTGACAGTGGTCACCATGCCGAAAATGGTCAAAGATATCGATGTCTGTTGCCATGCCGAAACGTGGATGGCAAATGTCTATGAAGAGAGGAAGATAAGAAAAGGCTCTAATGCAATGTTTTGTTTCTTACTTTGATGCAGTGATATGTGATGTTGGCTGTGTATATGTGATTTTCCCACTGAATCAAAACCATTTATACAATGATTGAGCCCAAATTTTAAGATGTGGGAACCATTTTTTTCGGCCCGGCTTGTTTTTTTTCGCCCGCTCGCATTGGATTTGGAGTCTGTAGGGGATGTTATCCATAAAATTTACTTGCTGTGGCCTTATAAGAAGCCCAGAATGTCTGTAAAAGATAGACAACAATCACCGACAAGGCGTGTTGAAAAAGACAGTTTTTTCCGCATCAAGAAGGCTAGTTTTTGCACGACACATGCATAACCTTCCCAAGAATGCCCTCAGTTTGTAACTTGGACTTAAAAATAGGTTTGTACTTTGCCCGGTCAATTTAATTATTTATGTAGGGCGTCCTTGCCCTTACTCTCCAAGCAGAGGTGAGGCCTGTTTTGGACGTTTCTGGAGATAACTCGAGGATGCGTGGGTGGGTGGTGCTTGATACTTAGCATGTAGATAGGTGTTGGCAAAAATAAAGCCAAGTTTTATTATAGGCCCCCAAGCGTCTTGCTATGGTACTGCAACACTTGGTCCAGACTACCCCAAAAAGGAGGCCAAAATAGAGATCCTGACACACACAGAAACGTTTAAACAAATCCAAAACATACCTAACCTCTGCTTGGAGAGAATGAAGTTAATAATTAAGGGGATGATTGACAGGTGTCAGAAATGATTGACATGTTTAGAGGTACATGTATGCTGTAATAAGTGAGTACAGACAGCACAAGAGCAAGTATATTGTAACAATTTTGGCTAAAATCTACATACCCCTGGGTTGTCAGAGTATAGGCTACATGAAATATGATTTTAGTGTTTGTCGCCACATTTTGCCGGCTTAGGCCACACCAATCTAATTGGGAACTAGGCGTTGTGGGAAGTGTGAAATTGGTCCATACACCAAGAGTCCAAGACCGGTGACTCTACCTCAATTAATCACCGTCCAGTCTAACGTAGCTTCGGCGCTTTCTTTCGCTCAGAATCACGTAAGCAAAAACCCCACCGAGTAGGAACACGCCTGCAACGACACCGATCACTATGGCCGCAGTGTTGACGTCGCTCTTGTTGTTTTCCGTGTCCAGAGAGCATATCTGAGCCGTGGAAAACTGTCCCGATTTGACTCCGAACGGCTGGACTTGAACCAGACTTGTGAGGATGCTCACATTTTCGGTAACGGTGATGTTCACTTCGGACTCACACATGTAGGACTTGTCGGCGTCTGCGGAGAAGATGTCCAGCGTGTTGTTGGAAACTTGTCTGCTGGCGTTCGGGTTCTTAGTCCCGGGAAAGATATCAGCCAGCTCGATGTAGGAGATCTCGATAGCGGACGTGTGGAAGCGATCGACGTCGCCGCCGCCTTCTTTTACGAACTCGAACGTCACGCTGAAGGCGTCGTCGTAAAACGTCAGCGTCAAACTAGAGTTGTCCGGACCACAGGACCCCGTAGCGTTGGCGGTTTGCGGTAGGCCGAAGACAGCGTAGTCGACTTCGTCGTCATTTGTTGTGTAGAGGATGTTAAATTGTAGGTCCATGTCGGCCATTAGACAGACTTGACCCGTTGTGTTGTCTCTCACTACGAAGTAGCCTTCAGAAGGTGACGAACCGACATTTCCGGGGTTCGACGAGGTCGCAAGGGAGAAAACTACCGCGAAAAGCACAGTTGTAGGCAGCAACGTCATTTTGAGCCTCGGTTACGACAGGCCAAGTCCGCACTGTCAGCTTGAACCAGTAAGCGGACAACTACCACAACTAAGGCCGGGGGCTACCAAGTTATGTTTGACTGTTGAATGGGCCATGAATTTTGAAACCAGTTAATTTACAAAAACATGTTCACGTCCGGCCTTCACCCTTTCAGCTTTATCTCTCATCGTCACGTTGCCTGGTGTTGGGCAAGTACTGAGCATTGAGTTTGTTTATACACTGATCTGAATCAATTGTGTTCTGTTACATCTATGGTTTATTTAGTTTATTTATTATGTTAGTTTCTTGATTAATATTTTCTAAGTGTCAAGGGGAGGACAATTGACAAGCCTTGCAGGCTTTTTTCCTCCTCCTGCACACTTTTTCTCCTTTGTTTTTCATATTTGTTGACTAATGTTCGTCCTTTATTTGCGATAATGAATAAATGAAAAAAAGGAAATTTTCTGTTCTAATCCAGCAAATGAAGGGGGCCATTCTTGAGGTGCTGGATGACGCTGGCTGTGGCGGGGCCAAGGGAGCCTGGGCCAAACTGTGGGACCGCTTCATGGCCGTTCACCGCTCTGTCTACTAAGAGCGCCCCCTTCCGTGGCCTTCAAGAAACGCAACGAACCCACGAAGTGCCTTACGTGCAGCTAATATCATATTAATAGCTGATGGCGTTCATCAAATCATTATAAAATGCTGAAAGCACTTGTTTCCGTAATTGTTTAGTTCACTATATACACCGTAACCTATTAAAGGTTTTACTAGTATACAAGATCACTCCTACAAACGTGAAACTACAACGTGTTAAACAACAGCAGGCGGTACACAATGTAATCCAGTGGGGATCAGTACGTGATGGTAAACTGAAACAGTGCCTTAATTCTTAACACTTGGTATTTCCTCAAGACATATTTTCTGAAAGTAGCTGCCTGCCAGTTTTCTGGTATGAAACGTTTCCTGAAAGTATATGAATTTGAACATTTTCTATCAACATGTTCACATTTTCTGAATAAACTTGCGTTACCTCTGCTCAGCTCTGCATTGTGTTCTTTTTTCTTCCAATAAAGTGCATATCATAATGTAAAAGGTGTGAAAGGTATAAAAAGAGTAAATTTGTGACGAAGGTAGCTTTTTTTCTGCCAACACATATGAACTTCCACAAAAAGAAAAATATTCAAGAATTGCCAGCTGATAGGTAAAATTTATTATCCTTTGACCGACAAAAGATATGACATCAATAAAACACCATTAATTGAAGAAATATCAATAGAAGTAATGCCTAACACAGAACATTCACAATGATCATTAGGTGGATCATTACAGATTAGATATGAAATGTTTGTGCATTTAATGCCGTTAAATCATATCTGTCTGAATAGCAAAAAATTGCTCCTTTTTGCTAAAGATCATCGTTTTACAAAGGTCAATGAACTCAACATTTATCAAATACAGGCTGACACGTCAAATACTACAAACTCCACATAGCTAGATACATAAATACATACATCAATATTACAACGTAACTAGCAGATTCCCTGGCATTTTGTTGGAACCCAGTTTTCAATATTTATTAAAGAACATCAGTCGTGCTCGCTTTTGCAAGTCCCATTCAAAGTATTATAATAATGGATATTATGCCACATCTCATCCCAATTAAATACAGAAAAGCTTCTTGCAACTAAAGCTAACTAGCTGATTTACAAAAAAAGGATTTAAATGCTATACTTCTAGCTAGCCAATATCACGAGTCACTTATTATAAATATATCCACACATGAAGAAGGCTAGCAATAAAACTATTTAAGGCATCCAATGCAATTTCAGGGCAGCAAAACTGGAAATATTCTGAATAAGGCAGTCTGTATGATATTGGCACATACCTTCCCACATTGGCACATTTAAATCAGTATTTCAGGCATTTAAAACTGCAGAAACAACACAATGTTAGTACCTTAAAAATCATTCCAGGTCCTTCCAGTAATCATTTTTCGTTAGAATTTTGGTCATTACTTGCTCCACTGGGACTGTTCTTTCATCTTACCATGCAGATAAAGTGACTAGAATATTGCTTTGAATCTGGTTTCCAAGCCCTAAAAACTGCACTGGGTGCCTTTAAAGTTTATCGGACATAAGTCGCCCGCCAGTCTACCAAACAGTACTGTACATCCAACCATCAATATGGCGGCTAATATCATAGTCACCAGATGTCAGCCCTAGTCCAAAAGGGAGTTGATCTCTTATTTACAATATACAATAGTACTATCTAAAGAGTCGATGACATATCAAGACAAACTTTTTTCTAGTCTTGAATGATTCTGTTAACCAAGTGGTACAACTGTTAGTCTGAAAGACCTTGATTTTAACATCCGAATATTTTTAGAACAGAAGACTACATGTTTATGTACAAATTTGCGAGCAATACTTCCAAACTTCTGTGCTTCATAGTAAAGTACTTGCCCAAAATGGCCTCTATGGCCACCTATGAAAATGACAATACATTGTTCAAGGCATAGGAGCCACTCTTGTCTACTGGGAAAAGGTCACCATTACGAGTAGGCACAGAAAGCCCGTTTTGGTGAGAGTACCCATAAACCGCGTCCAAGGCCGCCACTGACTACCTCACATCTACAACACACTCGCCCAGTCACGTGACCTGCGCTGACCTTTCAACCACTGGGTCACGTGACTGCCCACGTGATAGCTGAAAAAAGATGGTGGATGCCGTCTGAAAGCCTCTACGCTTTACAGTACTAGTACTAGTACTTTTGTCGTGTGTATTGGTTTTAATCATACCCTGTACTATAAATGTAAACAGTCCTTTTCTTGGCATATCTTGCTACTTTCTGGTATTTTGCAGCTTGGGGGGGGGGTCTTTCTTTTTATTTCCTTAAAAAAACTGGCCTTTAGGTTTGTTTTTGATGCTGGGTAGAGCTCTAGAAGTGATGCTATGTTGTTGTGTTTGTTGGTGTTCTGAGGGTTAGAGGTCATTGTTTGTGCCGATTCAAAAATAAGAAGTTTGGGCTTTTTATTTAAAATGGACACCTAACTTGTAGGCCAAGCTACCCTGCCAATGTAAGGTTTCAATAGTTGAACACTCAAGTAACTGATTTTGACAACTTATTTTATAGATGTCTACCATACATTTCAGTGGGAGCTCGAAATGGTGAGCCGTGCCCTACTACCTAGTTGTGGAGAGCCGAATTAAGGTATCAATTTCTACCTTGTTGCGGTTACCAAGTCTGCATTACAGCTATCTTACTTAGAGTCGACGTGAACTGCAGCGAGCTCGAGGTCCTCGGGTTTCCTGCTCTCTCCGGCGGATGTGCTCATCCCTTTCTCTCGGCACATCGACGACATCAGCGTGGTCATGCCCTTCCTGAAGCTGCTGTTGTAGTAGCCGTAGATGATGGGGTTGACCGAGCTGTGCATGTACACCAGCCAGTGAGACACCGGGTAGATGTAGTAGTACACGATGTAGATCTGGTACTGCCGGAGGTTGCCGTAGTCGTCTAGCATCATGATGGTGTGGAGGGGGATCCACGACAGCGCGAAAAGCATCACGACCACGAACAGCATCTTGATGACGCGGAACTTCTTCTTTAGGCCGGCCTCGCGACTTCCCCCCGGGATGGGCTTGCACCACACCTTACAGCCGATCCGGAAGTACAGGTACACGATGAGGCAGAGCGGGGCGATGTACAGCACCACCAGCAGGGTCGTGGTGAAGGGTTTTCTGCTGCTGTTCCACCAGTCTTCCTGGCAGATCGTCACCGGCTGAGTTGGTGCTGGGACCTCCTGCATGACCACGAAGTGCGGGATGGACAGGACGGAGCCCAGCACCCAGATGAAGACGATCACCTGCACGTTGTAGTTGGAAATAAAGCTTGGCTCGTTGGGGTAAATGACCGAGCAGTATCTGTAAATTGACGGAAATACAAACTCTCAAATCAGGTTAAGATTACTTACTTACTTACGTACTAATATGAGCTAGCAGTCCTGCCTTCCAACACACGAGACAGTTTGTGTTTCGGCATGTTCCAGCAAGTTTTAGATTCTCCAAAGAAAAATGTTACCTACTGGGGTTATATGTACTACATAATGATTGCATCCATACTGTATACAATAATTCCCAAGGAGTGTTTAACACCTGTCCAATAGGCGTAAGATATATTTTCACTCACAGGCCTGCTGTAATGCAAATACATTTCAAAAGGCGGCGTTAAGTACAACTCTTAGTTGTGAACACCGTTCGTTGTAGGAGTTCACAACCAAGGGCGTAAATGTAAGCGCTGCTGCTTTTTTCTCTTGCACCCTACAAAAGCATATTTTGGATATTTCTCTTTGGATGATGTGTGGCAGGTAATTTAGTTTCCCTGCATGAATAATTTTATACCCCGTCCCTAATAGGTGAATAGATTGGATTTAGATCTGAAAAGAATCTCCCCGTATTCAGATAAGTCAAATTGCTCTAGTGTCACTTAAGATCCCTTGCCAAGATAGTGGTCTCACTTAACAATGCCCTACTGCAGAGTAATGAATATTTAGCAGATGCATCGCAGATCTGTTGAGGTGGCCTTTAAATGGGTGACACCTTTGCGACGAACAGTTTTACTAAAAAACCCGGGAGGCAAATGCAGTAAGATTTTGGTAGGATAGGCTTTCTATATCTGTATAAGAGCCCCGGGTGATAGCTGATTGGAACATCATTCAGCCCCGTGTGCGTTTCAGCTCCCCCTGTGACGCACATGCAATTGGTACGCAATGAGACGTTTAGCGCAATGCTGCCCTAATGGGGTTTTACAAATACTAAGTGATTAATGTGGATTGCCAATGAGGATCTAATGACTGTCAACTATCGATTGGGAACAGCGTTAGGCACGCCTATGGAGATTTTGCAATAAGATGAAGGGCTATTGTAATACATACATTCGTCTTATGTGGGATTTCTGACGAATGCTACGTACCATTACGAATTCTGAAGAGGAAGCCAATGAAGAAAAACCAAGATAGAAACTACAAGGATGTGACTGTCTGCTTGTAGTATTCTGAGTATCTTCGTAATAAAGTCAACACAATCAAATGGTTGCTCATTTCGAATTTTTAGACAGTTTGTGCATAATTTTTTTTCTGTAAAGGTAATCGACATTCCCTTAACAAAACAGAGACATAGGAAATATCAGATTAAAAAACACATCACGTATCAGTTCTTTCGGTTTACAACTGCATTGAAGAAACTGCCAACAATTTTCTACTACAATTACGATTCAAGTGATTTGATGTCACTAAGGAATGATTGAATTTCTTTGATAGGATTTCTGCATGAATGTTTACTAATGCGATTTGATTGCCCTTGAGATGCTACAAGAAAATCGAATGAAACTTTGGGACCAAGTCCAAGGTTCGATCAATATCTAAAAGCCCGTGGTCATGCTACATGGGGATACCATTTTGCCTATCTCAGAATGTGTCACCTCTGTATCCATTTCTATTTCAATGAGTCGGAGTAATTCATATTTATATATGGAAATAAAGATATGGAAAACCACTATAAATCATTCAACTAATATTTAGGAAATTAATATCCAGCGCCGCAGATTATTAATTTTAAGTGGGGAAGAGATGTTTCAAAGCACTCTTTAATTTAAAACCGATAGGATCTTGGAGTAGATGACTGTACCCTGACAGAATTATATAATAGCTTAGAAGTAGGTGAGGATCTAACTTACGAGCAGTACATGTATGTGAGGATATTTGCTTTGAAAACTAGTGCGAGATAAAACATTTTCATAATGGTGTCTTTACATTGTACACAGACTCATCAACAAACTCCATTGCGAGAAAATGGCAATATTTAGCAATATCACAAACACCTATTGTTCTTTAAACAGATGTTTTTGATTTTAGAACATTTTCTTTTTCAAATCAAATTGTTATCTGTTATAAGGCCACAGCAATTATATTATATGGATGACATCCTCCGCAGACTCAAAATCTAAGGGTAAAACAAAACAAGGCGCCCTTCCAAAAATTCTACATTTTCACATGTCGACTTAAAAAAACCTACACCTGTATTGTGCTAAGTTAAAGGCACTCTATGTAGTTTTTTGCGCAAAAAATTGAAATATTCTAATTATACTAAATTTTGGTGTTATTAGCAGTTACTATCACTTTTCAACACATTTGTGTTATTATTTCACATTTTTTTCGTATATTTTGTCTGTTCAAACAGTCCTTCTTCAGTTCCCGGTGCCACCGGTTTGCTCAGGCAGGACAACAACAACAACATACAGGGGTTGCCCCCTGGGGTGGCTAATTGGCCCGGGCATGCCAGGCTCGATAGACAGGGGCAGATGTCACAAGATATACCCTCCTTAGAAAAAACTCATATCTTTCACATGAGGTGGAATATAATTATCAACTTAGAGTATTTTGTTGGGCATGAATAAACTGTGGCCATTATCCCTTCAAAAGAGATAAAAAATCTGGTAAACGATTAGGTATTTTAGAAACTGGTAAGCTATCAACTGACACCCCACTGGGATGTAGGTCAAACCACTGGGAGTGGACAATACCATATGTGTGGTTTGGCCAGAGGTTGAATAGAAGATCATTCACAGTTTTCTAAGCTTCTAAGGAGCAAGGATGTTGTATTTTTTGCTGGGGAGTATAATTTTGGAATACTAATGGGTTAAGCCAATGTACTATGTAAAGAAAAGAATAAAAAATATACTTTTTGTATTGTCAAAAAACTACATAGAGTGACTTTAACTAAAATAATAAACTGCCCAAAATTAAAATATCCGTGTATCCACATATAAAAGGAATAAAATACATCACTGCGTCAAAAATGAAAGACAAAACAATAAATCAGAACGTTGTGTTTAACTCTCTTCATCTCCCATTCACTTTCCGGCAGGGCAACATACATGTTTGCCAATTTTCGGTATGTTGACCACTGTCAGAGAGCAACAAGATTTCTTGTCATATTTCCAAAATGAAGCTTGTGCTGATGTCATCCATAAAAATTACTTGCTGTGTCATAACGAAACATGACACAAAACGTAGCATAGAATTATACACACTTTCAAATAACTGAAGGAGCTTGTACATACTTGAGTGTGTATCGCAAAACTGGCAGCTTCATTGGGTAGGAAATTGGTTTCTTTGTTGATGAGAGATTGGTTTTCACGAGGGGCCACTCCAAGAAAGAAACTGCGACATGCTATCAATTTACAGGTTTGCAAGTATCTTAGAACTACGCACTCGTGCATACAAAACGGCGGGTTACAAGTCTTCGAGTGCACATTCAATGTATTAGACAACTAGAAAAAAACCCTTCAATTGCCTCAAAACAAGTATAAAAATACTCATTTTGAAGATTTCTAGAGAATATAATATTTATATCATTATTTATCATTAATTATAAAATTTGTAAAAGGATGGAAAACAAGTGAATACATATTGCATTTTCAAATAGAAAATTAGTTGGTATTGGTGAAAGCCTGCAAACTATGAACATTGCATATATTCACAAGCATGTATCAAAACATGTGCAAAGAAACTAATTTTGAGATCAGAAGATGTAGAAGTGTTGACATTGGCATATCAAACTCACACCTAAAAGGTGTTGACAAGCCAGACTTTTAGCCTTGTCGCTACAGCATTAAAATCTCATTAATCACTAAATCCAGTGGGCCCGAAAGATAAGAGATACTGTTTTTCTACACTTCTAAACTGGTCGATCATTCAGCAAAGACCTGTTAATGGTATAGGCCTATGATAAGTACTGCCAAGGGATAGTTTGGGCTAATGTCTAAGTAGTAGATTTAGGCTATATCTATGTTTAATTTGGTTGCCGTGCTTTCAAGCCCATAACAGGGTAACAGTATGGAACCATTCGTCAGAATCTCGCCAAGAGCTAAATGCAATTGGTGTTTGTTTTAGTATATATAGTTTTCGCAAAGATTCTTAATCTAATTTCGAAATTCCACCTGCCAAATTTGTTATAATTATTGTTTTCAGTATTTTTTAAATTTTCACTTTCTTCCTTATTTTCTATTATTAAGGGCAATACTGCATCTCATTAATTTGTTTTTTTTAAATTTTGAACAGAGTTTACTGACCTTTAATTTTATATAAGTCACACAAAGCTATGTGTGGAAATTTGCAAACACTTGCTATCGCTAAATCAAGAAATCGTGTAATATATTCAATTACAACTATAACCTATGGATATGTGGATTTTGAGGTACTCTACTGCATATTAACCAAGTGTGTTCTTGATATGAAAAGTGTTGATTTTTTTTCCCTAAAATTTTTGTTTTCCTTGCTCTAAATTTGGTGCATTTAGTATTGGGGAGGGCCGAAGATAAACCACCAGGTTTCCGGCTCTCCCATACATGCATCTCTACTTAGTTCTCAATTGTTACATTGTGTTTTTTTTTCATTGGTAAGTGCAAAAGAATAAACAAAGACATATAAACAAAATCAAAAGTCACCTGTCTATGGCGATGGCGACGAGTGTGAAGACCGACACTGCGACTGACACCACTTGGACAGCTGGGGTGATCTTGCACATAACCGGGCCGAATGGCCATCCTGGGAATTAATAAAAATGATCGTTAACACTTAATGACATGGTGTCCATGAAACATCTGTTGACAATATAATAAAATACTATCATCAAGGTATCTTTATGTCGCACAACGTTTGACCATAAAATGAAAAATCACTTTACATGGATGTCGTAAAGTATTTTACGTACTAACATTGGATGCGACTAATACTTCACAATCCTGTATATTTGTACATACCAGATTGTGCAAAGTTCAGAAAAAAATTGACGTTAATAAACCAATCTTTTAGGTATAGCTGGATTGTGTTTAAAATGTACGCACTTCATTTTGCATGATATTTTTGATTGTCAATCGGGTGACATGAATATGATAGAAATTCTGAACTTGATCATTCAAAACCCATAGGCCTTTAAATGATACTCGTAACGATTTGACTGTCTACTCATTCCCTCGAGCGCACCACTCCGCTATCTTTCATTGCAATTGACATGTACATAAAGTATCGGCGTAAAAGAAACTACTGTGGGTACACAAGCATGTAAATATCCATTTAATCCTGCCTCGGGGAGAACTCAGCACAAAGCTTAAACCATTTTACGTAGTGTTTCCTGTTTGAGGATTTATCGTTAGGTTATGTTGTATGCATAAGTTTCACATACCTAATGTCATGCAAGAATGAACATATAGTAGATAGATTATGTAGGTATGTCACTATTTATTTCAAGAAAAGGAGAAGAAACAATGGGTATTATTAGATTAACAATAGTATACAGTTATCGCAATAGATAGAATTTTAATATTTAGCGTTAGAATGCAGCATTGTTAGTGTTGAACTTTTCATATATTACATACATGCTCTAGACCACATAGATTACATGTGCATTTAGTTCATCTGGACAGAAATATGCAATAAAAAATCTTTTTATTATTTAGTTTTTCGAAGAAAGAGAAGAAAAGATTTAACACAATCGATCCGTTACACAAATCAATGATTCACATCCTTACCCATAACAACATCATCCACCAGGGTAAACGGCATACAGAAGACAGCAACCAGCAGATCACTCACAGCCAGGTTCAATATGAAGCAGTTCGTCACGGTTCGCATGCGGGGGATCTTGACAATAACGAGACAAATGATGGTGTTTCCGATCACACAGAAGGCAAACGTTATGAAGTAGACGATGGCGAAGACAACGATGACTGGGACGGTTTGCTTCAGCAGTTGGACATCTCCCTCTCTTGTACTGTTAGATCCGTTGGTGAAGTTGCTCATGGTCACACAGCCGGGGATGCTTAGCTTCAGCAACGGCAAGCCTCTGTACCTCAACCGCGTCTGTCTTCACGGAATGAGGGATGTCCTTTCTAAGACGCGTTCGTTAATGCTAACGCTGAACAATACTTCAGTTCTGTTACGGAATCGATCGAAGTAACGCTTCTTGTCAGATAGGCCCGCCCGTTGACTTACGTCTTGGCTTGGGCTAACGAATACTCCCCACTGCTCGAGGGACATCCATCATGAGTACGCCGCGCCATGACGTTTACGCCTACGGGTCTGCATAGAAAACAGTAAACAACACTTGCACCTTACGCAGATCTTAATCACAACATTTGTCATTATCGATTTCTACGTCAGGAGATAAAAAGAAGTGTTGAAGAAGAATAACCTTCCATTTAACGGAGTCCACCTAGTAAGCTGGGAGAGATATCAAGTGGCTTAAACTGCCATTTTTTCAAGTAACCTTCTATGCGCCATTTTCTTGAAAGGGCAAACAGAATTGCCTCTGAAAGAGCATAAAAGCAACACTACATAGAGCACTTACGTACTGTATGTTGCTTAATGCACTAATAGGTAGACAAAGTTGATGCATGCATGGTGTTTTGACAACCAGGAAATTTGCAAAAGGACATGACAAATGCATTTTAAGATTAAAGTTAGGGTGCCATTAGAAGTTAATCTGCGTTCGTAAACAAAATCCTGTGTAAACTTGTAAGTAACAATATCTATATATCTATCTATATCTTATTCTATCTATAACTATCTATCTATCTATTTATTTATCTATCTATCTAGCTATGTACGTCTCTCTCTCTCTCTCTCTGGAACTAAGCTTATGTTCAAAAGAAGCAATGAAGATACAATGTCAAACTGAAATTCTAATTAAGAAATTACACTATCTAAATCTGCATTGGGAGAGAAGTTCTCCTGAAGTAATTGGGAAAGCTAGACAGCAGCTTTTGTGATATCTATGTGTTGCGTCACGAAATGGCTTTCCATCTAGATTTTAAACCAAGCCTTAGTTCCAGATGATCAATAAGTAATTATGGGGGTATTGAAATGCCACGGGCGTGGTCTCGAGGGACAAGTCTTGCGTGACGAGCAGCCTGCTCCAAGACGTCTCCCTGGACCCAGGATGTTAAGACATCGTCATCTCAGCCTCAAGAAGTTATTAGAATCTGAAGCAAACTGACAGCAGAAATGGATTGCTAGACGTACTGTCGTCGCTTCAGCTCTTATTGGAAAAACGGTAATGGTGATAGTTGACTTTTTATTGGGATCCACAATTTCACATGACATGAGGTATATAGTGATAACGAGCACGACCTGTAGATTACGACGCTAGACCTCTTGCCATTATTGGGTTCTCACGTCATTTTATTGATGCAGAGAAGCTTAGCTGATGACTATTTGTTAACAATAGCTGTTAACATCTGGCGATCGATTGATCGGGCCTGGCACACCCAGCGAAATGCAACTAACGAGGCAATGATAAAATGGTCTTTCCCATCTGGTTGATGGAAATTTGATAAGGGCCGGAAAATAAAAGAACTTTTTGTACCAACAACTGTTGAATTCTGGAACAGTTTTCCAGGGGAGATTGCTATGATCAGGGACAGGCAGACAGTTAAATGTTAATATAAGAAGATAATTCTTTCATCAGCGCAAAACACTGACAGCGGTCTGTCTAGGCGGTCAGGTTGCTAATGCTGAGGGAACGAAAGCAGACATAAACGGATACAAACCTAGAACTTCATGAAACACACGAAGTCGTATGAATAAGTAGTGTCTACCTGGATATGTGACTAGAACAGTAAATTACCTTGGGGACCTCGGTGCGGGTTTTCACCTGCTGTATCGACCATGACCCCCGATTGACAGCTACAGCTACATCGTCGATTTGAAAGAGAAGTAAGTGTCCACCCAGCTGCAGACTATCTACATGATCACGTCTGCAAGAGACCACCGCTGGCGCAGAATACACAATAAAGCTTCCTCGCGCGCTTACTTCAAGGGCAAAGATTTCTCAATTCAAACAGGATTTCCGACTATGGCATCCAATCTCGTTTCTTTACAATGCAATATGTGGGTAGAAGATTGCACAGCATTGGTTTATAATTTCCTTCTGGTAGAATAAATGGTAACTGCAAGGCGTCCGAAATTAGATTATAAGCATAGCTATTAATTCAAAGATTGAGTAGAACCCGTGAACTATACCGGGGTGTGTTCAGTCCATCAGTTTGGAAGCTATCCAAACTTCAATATGAGAACAGGTAAGGAAAGTTTATGAAATTTATGCTGTACTAGTATGATTTCTGAATAAATGCTATTTTTCAAACGAATGTTTCAAGCTGCCTTGGTAAAATAACCACATATTGCCAAGCAAAATACTGATTGCATAAAGTTGACTGCAAGTGTTTGGACGCTATCCAAAATACAATACGAGACCAAATAAGAAAAGTTTATGTACTGTGCTAGTGTACTGTGCTAGTACAATTCCTAGATAAATGTTCGTTTTAAGCTGCATTAGTAAAATACAACCACATATTGCCAATAAAAAGTCTGCTTGAATAAAGTTTGAAATTATCTATAGACAGCATACGTTTACTATTAAAAAGGATGTCTCGTAGGATTAATATGTTCAAGATTACATTCTCTGCTCGGGAAGTCTGCATAGTAGTTGTTCAATGGAGGCATATGCATACCCTTTCAAGACGTGCAGCACTAATGACTCAAGGAAATGATTGGTTCCACTTGAAATGAGCACCTACACATTTCACTCCCACAAAATTTCCCCGGAGAAAAACCCTGTAATCTTGGCTGTGCAGGAGCCTCTGTACTTGACCTTGATGAAGTAAGAGTAGTGAAGTCATTGCACATGTAACGCATACATGTAGTCACATCTTACATGTTTTTCCTTTATTGTATTTTCGTAATATCCATGGTAATTCTTGTAGTTGTCATATCATCTAATGCTGAGTTCACTATTCATTCAAGGGGTCGACCGGGCAGCTTTTGTGAACACACATTTTTTTAATAATCAGCATTTTTAGATGCATGTACTCCTGATATGAATTGTTCAATTGAATTAATTTTTCTTTCATACAAACAGCCCGGCCGGGCCCCGGTTTGAAAATGTGACCTCACATTAACGTGGTTGCATTGATTTAATGAAATGGGCTACTGCATGTGCATGGGCTACTGCAGTTACACGCACGCATTGTGTTGAAAGACGACGTCGTTTTTTTATCAGTTTGGCTGTTCAGCACAGTCAGGAAAGGGGCAGGGTAAATTTACAAAGTTCTAATTTCCTATTCTGTTAAGATTTCTGTTGCCGCTGGAACGTGGATGGTAGATAACTACGAAGATAGGACACAAGACAAGGCTTTTAATTTAAACTTTTTTTCTTTTATAATTACTTTAATGTAATGATGCATCTCGTTCCTTTTATAAAGTGTATGTGATGGTGGCTCTGTGTGCAAGATGTTCCCACTAAATCAAAACTATTTGTACAATGATGAAATTAAAAACTTTTATATTCATTCATTATTCATTTTTACATTCAAGTTGTTTCAGTCAGAAATGGATGATAAAAAAGAACCATTAGTACAATATAGGTATCATTTCTTTATCAGTTTAAAAAAATGTTTATGTTGTCAAAATTTGAAAATGTAGGAATCTTGTTTTTTTTGGCCCGCTTTTTTTTTCGCCCTATAGCATTAGATTTGGAGTCTGTGAAGGATGCCATCCATAAAATTTACTTGCTGTGGCCTAATGGGTAAGCCTTTTGTAAGATAAGCCTAAAGGTCGGTAGAAAATGCCGATTGACCTCTGTGATATATATACGCATACTGGGCCATTATTAATAAACAACCTTGACTTGTCTTGACTTTCCATTGCAGTTTGCAAATAATACTGGGATGTCAATTTCATGGTAGACTGACAAGACCTTGCTCAAAGCGCCCTCAAGTTACTTTCTAAATAGGCTTTGGATATTTCATAGCATCAACTGTGTATTACGTCTGTACACGCGACTCACAAGGCATGGCAGCATTTAAATAATGGAAAGATAGGATAAACCACAATAATGCATTACACTGAATATGGGTATTAGTTATGGTCTGTAACTAGTATAAATAAAATTTGCACGTACCTTTAGCTTCTTTTCGGCAAATTTGCAATTGTTTCAATTTTTGAGACAAGCAGTTGATGTTAACAATCATTGTCAGAGTTGCCACTAGTCAAACACTATAATCTCATGTTGCAATTAAAAAGTAATAGACAAGAATATTTAACTAGTAAAGAATCACATGGGCTATGTGATGTCATAATACATGTATGAGGGAAATATCCATACCATGTCATATATTAAGCTTATATTTGATGACACAATACGATATCAGTAACATCTAAAACCACTACAGTCTTTACAAGCCTTTTAGCGTCCATAGCCCGCTCAATAAACAGGCATGTATGTTCATGAAATAACCGAACGTCAAATAGTGTAGTTCTTTTTATGTTTAGTGTCTGCCAGTGCCAGTGGCCTATTGTACAAAAGTTATATGACTTGTCCTCATTTTTATTTAACATACCAATGGTTGTTAGCTTTTTTATATTTCAGTATTGTCAATTGAAATAGCTTTCCCATTCCATTTACAATTTAAAAGTAAAGACGTCAAAATGCCTCTGCATCTGATATTAGACTTCAAACAGGAGCAGAGAGTATCATTGACGCATTACGAGTAATAATATGACTATTCACATGAAAGAATACATTGAAAGACAGCGTTAGCACAAAAAGGAACATAGCAGCTATTCAATCCGGGCTTTGAGTTGTCGCTTTGAGTTTTTTTCTTGACCGGATTCTGTTCTTCTACAGTTTTGGTCACAGTTTTGGAAATTATTTAAATGCATCCAGTGCGATTACAGGGTAGCAAAACTTGAGATATTCTTAATAAGGCGATCTGTATGATAGTGACACATAGTCCCGCATTAGCACATTTGAATCAGTATTCAATAATT